AAAGAAGGACTCCTTGAACTGAGCCCAAGTCATGACAGTATTTGTATCACGGATCAACATCCACCACCTTCTAGCTTCTTCTTGTAGGGTGAAGGTAGCTAACAATACTTTGTTCGCTTCTGAACACGGAAACACTTCAAATAATTTTTCTGTTTCCAGAACCCAAGCTTCAGCTTTTAACGGTTCAAGGCCTCCCTGGAAGGATGACGGTTTCATTTTACTGAACTTCTGGGTAAGAGCAATAATATCCCCATCATTCACATTCACATTAGGTTCCGGCTGAACCGGAGGAGGAGGAGGTGGGGGCTGTTGGTTCTGTTGTTGTTCCAGTCTAGCAGTTATCAGTTCTATCATTCTTTCCATTCTTGCCTCGGTAGACGAGGATTCAGGTTCATTTGCATTGTCCATTTCACTATAAGCAGTTATAACAGTTTTAAACATAAGCAGTCATTGTTTCGCAGTTTAACACATTAGCAGATATTGTTTCGCAGTTTAACACATTAGCAGATATTCAGTCGTAACGTAACCACACACTTTTCAAGTTCATGAAATGCCCTAATCACTTTTCTAGGACACCCTATAGCTCGTTTGGACACGTGTGTGCGGTATAACTCGTGGTAAGTATCGCTCTGATACCACTCTGTCACGACCCAAACCCGGCCCTATGGGTTTAGCACCGTAACCGGCCAGTAATCCGAGATTACCGAAGGCCTGCTTAACAGCAATACAGTAAAACAGAGTACAGGGCCTGGCGGAAGCCAATACAGTAATTAAACAATGTCCAATGAGCTGTGACAGTCTGTATGCAAAAACGATTTTTCATGCATTCATACATAAACAGTACAGAACAGTATGTACAATATTGACATTCATTCAAACTAGGGACTCAACCCTAGATAGCGGTACAGTGAACAGTCAGCCTGTACAAAACAGTACGGTCTATACAAAATTTACAGTCAAACAGTACAGGGACCTAATCCCTTGATAACAGTACGGTAAACAGTACAGAACGTAAGACAGTACAGAAGACAGGTGGGGGAAAACAAACAAAACACCCCAAAGCCATAGCATGGCAACTCGGAACCTCGCAGTGAGGCACAAAGGCTGGCTTGACAAAACTGGAGTCTAACCCACGCTCCTAGCTCCGATCTGGTGGCTGAGCACCTACATATATATATAAACAGTGAGCTAAAGCCCAGTGAATAACATAATGCGTAAAGAGGTTTAGAATGAATGTCCTTACGGTAATGAAAACAGTTCAATTCAATCAGTATTTCAGTTGTTCAGTACAGTAAACAGTCATATGTGGTACATCCATTAGCATAACAGTAACAGTAGGTCTTAAAAGACCGAACAGTAATGATGGCCATCAGTCAGTAAACAGTAGTGGCTCCACAGGGGAACCGACAGAGATCTCTGTAACAGTAACAGTAACAGTAAACAGTAGGTACTAAGGATGCCACAGTACAGTTCAGAAATAAAGGACATACATTCATTCAGTAATACCAGTTCAATAAACAGTTCAGTTCAGTATTCAAAAGATAATCAGTTGAACATATCTTTACACAATTGTTACTCACAGAGGTTGGGCTACAGTATGCTAGAGCGTGTCTCCCCAGTCACCAACCCTGCACAGTTCACAGGTTGAACACACACTAAGCTACACAGTTGGGAAAACTCATAACTTAATCCCTAATTTGCCTCAGATATTCTGTAGCAAACCCCTTTGTGCTTCTTGCCACACTCAGAACAGGGTGGTATGAAACCACTCCCTTGGCTGGGGCTAGTTGTCGACCCCGTATTCTGTTTCTTATTCAATGGGTTATGCTTGCTCGAGCTCAGGTTTCCCCGCTCGAGCGGTCATGCAACAAAGGTACACGCTCGAGCGTCAACTTTCCCGCTCGAGCGTACTGTAAAAGTACTGGATGGGTGAAATCTCCGCTCGACGCCCGCTCGAGCTTGAGACAAGACTCCGCTCGAGCGCCCAATCCTCCGCTCGAGCGGACTGCCAAACAGTGCAGAGAGATGCTGGTTGCTCGAATTCTACGCTCGAGCGGCACTTCCTCCGCTCGAGCGGAAGTGCGAAATCTGGAAAATCCAGATTCGAGCTCCAGGTTCAAAACCAAGCTCAAAAGCATCAAAACCAATCCTCTTGGGCCCATTTTCTGGAAAACATTTATAAACACATAGGATATCATGTTTCAAAGCTCAATTTTAAGAAATCAAAGCCCAAGGGTGTTTAATTCAAACCCAATTTCAAACCAATTTCAAGAACAATATGAACATGCAACATGCATGAATTCAAACCATTTTGAAGCTTCAATTTGATGCTCTTAGGAGCCAATTCTTTTCAAAACATGGTGAAATCATGGACTTAAACATGATTATGAACATGCATGTAACCCTTTGCCATGAAAACAACTCAAACATCTACAATACAAACATGCATGCGTGAAATGAGCTTCAAATCAACAACAATGAACCAAAGTATGACTTAGTTCTACAATGAAGCATGACTCATGCAAGAACTAGCTCAAACACATCAATAAAGGTTGAGTTCTCTTACCTAGAGCCTCAATTACAAGTGTAGGACCACAAAGCAACAATCAACCTTCAATTCTCTTCAACTTCTAAGCAATATTGAAATGAACTCAAGACTCTCACTTCCTCTCTCTCTAAATTCGGCTAGAACAAGAAGAAATGGCTGAGCAAATGTGTTTTGATTCAAGTATAAGGCTCAAGTGTGTATATTTGAGATAGTGGCCCACTCAAGGGCATAACGGTAAATAAGTCCAACTCGCAATTGATCAATATTAATCTAATTTAATCATACCTAATCAATTTTTAGATAATTATACCATAAAATCACATTAATTACGAGGGTCACAGAACATTAATCGGTTTCAGATTCGGCCGCCGATAAGGCCTTCAATTAATAGTTTAAACATATAAGCGTGAACAGATAATCATACAGTCAAACAGATAGAATGAAATTAACTAACATATGCTCAGTCAATTCAGTTCCAGTTTCAGTCAGTAGTTTCAATTTCGGTCAGTCAGTTCAGTACTTTAGTCAGTTCAATTATCAGTCATTATCAGTTCCATTTCGCAGTAATCAATGATTAACGGTAATCATTCGGTCATTAATCAGTGAACAGTATGGGGGTTGTTACAGGTTCAAAAGGGTCACACACAATTACTGGCCGGCCATGTGATATTGGTGGCCTTCCAGGTGTGTACAACACAAATATGTGGCTTGGGGCAAGACAAGAAAAAGTGGCCTTAGGGTGGTCCACATTGGCTTTCAAGTGAGAAAAAACAGGCGACGGAGGGCAATGGAGAAATAAAACTTGTTGTCAGAACAATTACTGGCCTTCCACCCTTCTATGACCTTCTTAACAATGAAACAGAGGTCCCTGCCAAAAATGAACCCAAACCGATGCAAAATGAAGGTTCGGGGGCCGAAACGCGCAGTCCGAGGCCCCGAAAATTGACTGTTAGGCACCAGAAGTGGTGTTCGACCACGAAGTTGGTCTCTCAAGCAACAGTGTCCCTCAAAAGGGAGCAAATATCTCATTACAAACTACCATACAACACAAAAAAAAAAAAAAAAACTCATATACAAATGAATTTCAATTTTACTGAGGAATGTTTACCTCCCCGTGCCATGCAGCCACATGACTATTGAAACTCCGCAGTATTGACGGATCATTCGGTCCACCTGGAAAAGCATGAGTAAGGTACACTTCCTGGACAGGAGGAGAATCAGGTAAAGAGGTATCCTCCACACCAATGTCAGGCATATCACAACCTTCAACTCGTCTTTGGCTTCGGCCCCCACTTTGGCTGGCACTGGGAATATCATATTCTACCGAAACTGGATCACGACCTCGACCACGACCTTGATCTCGTCCTCTCCCATGCCCTCGTCCCCGTTGATGGTCTACATCTAATTCACGACGTCGTCTATTTGAAAACTGGATCACGACCTCGACCACGACCTCGTCCTCGCCCTCGCCCACGCCCTCGTCCCCGTTGATGGTCTACATCCAATTCACGACGTCGTCTATTTGAAATAGTAGGTGGGACACGTTGTTGATATTCAGAATCCATATTATCTGCAAAAAATACTAAGTGTGTGCAATGAGTGTGTGTCTAAATAATAACGGTCTGTGTGTGTAAAATTAATTAGAGTGTTTTAAAATATAAGTGTGTGTGTAATGAGTGTGTGTGCAAAATTAATGAGAGTGTATGTGTAAATAATAAGTGTTTAATAATAACGGTCTGTGTGTGTAAAATTAATGAGAGTGTGTGTAGTGAGTGTTATAATTAAGTGTTTTAATTAAGTGTTAGAAGGAAAAAAAAAAAAAAAATTATTTTTTGTTCGGAAGTTGTTGTCCGAAAACACCTACTCTGTTCGGAAGTTGTTGTCCGAAAATACCTGTTCTGTTCGGAACTTGTTGTCCGAAATTATAGCTCATATTCGGAAGTTGAAAACCGAAAAAATAAATTATTTTCGGCACTTGAAAGCCGAACCAAATCAATATTTTCGGAACTATAGTACCGAATGGAAACAGAAATTTCGGAACTCTACTGCCGAACAAAAACAAAAATTTCGAATAACCAGTTCCGAATGAAACACGGCAATCACAGTGGACTGAAAATTTCGAAAATGGTAAAAATTAACCCTATATTACAAATAAAATAGGAATGAGAAGATTATAATCTGTGTAAACTAACCTAAAATGTGAAAATTTCAATGTTCTTCAATGCCCTTCAATGGCAAAACTTCAATGATGCCAAAACTTCAATGACACAAATGGATGGATGAAGCTTTTGGGGAGGAACGGTGGAGAGTGTGAGAGATGGGTGTGTGTGTGAGAGGGGTTCTCAGATGGGTGTGTGTGTGTGAGAGGGGTCTCACGGTTGTGTGTGTGTGTGAGAGGGGGTGTGTGTGTATGATTTATATTTGGGATATATGTGAAATGATAGGTGTGTGTAGTGAGTCAAATATATTAGGATTTATTTTTTTAGTGTGTGTATTAAGAAAGATTTGTATAGACGAAACCACATAAGTTGAAAACAAATCACAAAAAACCACAGCAAACGCTTTCCAATATCACAAGCAGCAACAACTCTCTCTCTCTCTCTTTACAGGTTCTCCATATGCCTCATATATACGCGCGCACACAGGTATTCACGAATGGTTCTTCTTCAATCCACATTTTTGGTAAAATGTTTGTTTTGAATTTGACAGATTGCAACTACGATGTTGCCGAGATGGAGCAGAGCTGTGACTTATCTCTCTAGGGTTTCATCACACAAGAACAACATGGTAACTAGAAGAGATTTTCATGGTTTCTCATGCCAAAGCTATTCGAAAGTCGCCGCTGCCACCGCGACCGAGGTGCCGATCGCAGTCGACTCTGCTGAGAAAGGTTATGTGAGTACACCTGAGGTATAAATTCAGAACTAGCAATTTGGATTTTGTGAGAATGTTATTCATTCTCTGTTGAATGAACTTGCTGCTTATAAAAAAAATTCATTAGAATTTGATGATACTGAGTCGTTAATTTTAGAACTTCAATGCCCTATCAAACATGCCCTATCTGTATTGTGGTTAATAGCTTTTTCTGTTGGTTGTTCTGTCCTATATGAACAACTCATTCATGCTTAATTTGATTATTCGACTTAACAAGCTTTGTCCCAATCTTGATTTAATATCATATTCTCTAATTTTGAAAATTAAATTTTGGTCTGAGAAAAGAAAAACTTGTATTGGGTACAGCTGCTACAGATAGCGACATCAATAAAGGGCTACAAACCCAGGTGAAGAAACACCTAAAAGGAGACAACGTGTAATGAGTGTGTGTGCAAAATTAATGAGAGTGTGTGTGTAAATAGTAAGTGTTTTAAATTATAATGAGAGTGTGTGTAAAATTAATGAGAGTGTGTGTAGTGAGTGTTATAATTAAGTGTTTTAATTAAGTGTTAGAAGGAAAAAAAAAAAAAAAATTATTTTTTGTTCGGAAGTTGTTGTCCGAAAACACCTACTCTGTTCGGAAGTTGTTGTCCGAAAATACCTGTTCTGTTCGGAACTTGTTGTCCGAAATTATAGCTCATATTCGGAAGTTGAAAACCGAAAAAATAAATTATTTTCGGCACTTGAAAGCCGAACCAAATCAATATTTTCGGAACTATAGTACCGAATGGAAGTAGAAATTTCGGAACTCAACTGCCGAACAAAAACAAAAATTTTGAATAACCAGTTCCGAATGAAACACGGCAATCACAGTGGACTGAAAATTTCGAAAATGGTAAAAATTAACCCTACATTACAAATAAAATAGGAATGAGAAGATTCTAATCTGTGTAAACTAACCTAAAATGTGAAAATTTCAATGCTCTTCAATGCCAAAACTTCAATGACACAAATGGATGGATGAAGCTTTTGGGGAGGAACGGTGGAGAGTGTGAGAGATAGGTGTGTGTGTGTGAGAGGGGTTCTCAGATGGGTGTGTGTGTCACGAGTGTGTGTGTGTGAGAGGGGGTGTGGGTGTATGATTTACATTGGGGGTATATGTGGAATGATAGGTGTGTGTAGTGAGTCAAATATATTAGGATTTATTTTTTTAGTGTGTGTATTAAGAAAGATTTGTATAGAGAGGAAAGGGTGTGTGTATATAGAAGCTCCCTGAAGAATGCAGCTATTAGCATCCCATCAATTATTTTAAACACTCTATTTTTTAACTTTTTTTTATTATAATAATAACCTCAAATGAAATTACTAAAAAAGATATCAAATAATTTTGGGATAACTTATCTTACAATTAAGTTCACACACCCACTATATCATGAGTTAGAGTTTATGAGAATACCCACCTCCATCACCATGTATCCATCCTCTCCAAATTTCACCTTTAAAACCTACTCATCCTCAAAATCTTGAAAATAGTTTGGCAGTAATATTACGATGGTAATGGTGACAACCATTTAATTACCTACAAGAGGAGTACAACAATAAAAACTCATAGGAGGTTCATAGCTTTGATGGTGTTCTTAGCTCAGAGGAGATTGGCCTTATAAGAGTAAATTTATTGAAAAAAAATAACAAAAATAATAAAAACTATTCGTCATTTTTTCGAGATTAAACTCCTGAATATATGATCGAAATTTGGAAACACATGCTCGAATATTGTTAATTTGTTTGGGAACAGGTAACCGAATATTTCTTATTTGTTTGAGAACAGATAACCGAAAACTCGTGGAGATTACAAAATCCACAAAAAGAAAATTTTTAATTAGCAGCAAAAAAATTATATATTTATGTTCTCAGGTCATGAACAAGTATGTAAAGATAAAGAAGTAATCACTTTCGTGAATTTTGTTAGGATTTTTGAGAGGGGCTTTTTGGAGTGTGTGGATGTGCATTCAATTGAACATGTGAAATATTTTCACAAGAATAAATTTAATATTATTTAAAAGAGAATTTTTTTTAAATATTTTAAAATTTATAAATAGAGATAAAAAAAATAAAAAGTCAAGAATAATTGATGGGTGGTAATAGCAACCTTATTGATGAATCATGTTTTGTACAATTTGAGAGAGAAACAAACAAACAAACATGGAAGCTGGGGTTTCGAATTATCTTCAATATCTTAGGAAATTCAAACTTCAAACAATCGATTAGGTTAGGGTTTGTGTGGATCAACAATATTGGACGTGTTTCGCACCATTGTTGGTGTTTGTTGAGTTTGTATTGGGATGGATCAGCACGTAGAAGACGAACACGGTGAAATCCTAACTTGTAAATATAGTTGTTTGACTCTCTTTTGTTTGACTATTTTTTTATTATTTTTATTTTTTTTACGCTTTTATGATTGTTTGAGTATGTTTGTGTACTTAGGTGTAAAATCATTGTTTAAAATAGAGTATGTATGAACTTTTTATTTGTTTAATTTTTAATTTTTTTTTTTTCAACCTTTCAAGAACAGAATTTGAGAAAGTGTTTTGTTAGCTTTTTTACATACTGGTTTTTTAAGCATTTTGTTGTTGTTTGTGTTTGGAACAAAAATAAAGAGAAAGTGCTGCTTGTTTTGTAAAAAAAACTGATGTTTTGGTACAGAGCCTTAGAAGTGATTTTTAGTTTTTTTTTTTTTTTTTTTTTTTTTCTTCTTCATTTGTTTTTGTTGATTTGTTTTCTTCTTTTTTTCCTTTTGTTGATTTTTTTCCCCCCCCCCCCCCCTTAAAAAAAAAAAAAAAACTTCAAGAGGACAAGAAGGAATGCTCAAATATGGATATAAGTTACTATACAGTGAACTAGATATCTATCTATTTGTAAAACTGGGGGTCCTCCATTGTAATTTCAATTTTTTTTTTTTTTTAAAGTGGAGTGCTAAATGTCTTTATCTTTTTACTTTAGACCCTTCATTTTATATATTTTATTTGATTATAATTTTGTCCTAATATCAAATTTCAATTTTGTCCTCATCCTTTCTTTCAAGTCTAACCCTAACCCTAACCCTAATCCCACCACCACTTCCACTCTGTTCGACAGCCTCCGACAACCAACCTATCTCCGCTATTTTCCTCATTCGGCTGTTGTTCATGGAACTATCAATGGAGGCGAAGGTTAGGGTTTTGGTAGCGGCAACAGAGAAAGAGCGACTAATTCGCGAACCCTTTTTTGCAATCTTCATTTTCATCTTTCGAAATCTACTCACTTTTCTCTCTTTTGTGCACAACTCTCTCTCTCTCTCTCTCTCTCTCTCTCTTCTTGTCGATTTCTCTCTCTACCTCACAGGTTGGTCGATTTCTCTTCATTCGGTTAAACAGAGTCAAACATGTTGAATATGTTTAGTACTTCACAACTGAACATATGCCTTTTGTTCAGTTACATAGCACTGAACATCAGGCTTTTGTTCGGAACTGGTTTTTTGAATAGTGGCGAGAGTGGTCACGAAGGCAAAAGATGGATTTTTCGAACTGGTTATCCATCTTCCATCTTCAGCAACATCAATGTGATTCTCTACAATGGAGGAATCACCCTTCGAACTTGCACCCATTACACTTCCAACGTTGTTACATTCATTGAAACATAGTTCGCATCTGTCTGACACTCTGAGGAAACAGATGATTGCTCTGTTGTTATTGTTACTGCTGCTGTTTGAGCAGATTGCCACAGAGAGAGGGTCGTCGGAGTGAGAGGGGGACTGTCGGAGGAGAGAAAGAGGAGTTGAAGGTAGAAGGTGGGTTGGCTTCAAAGGGTATATTTGAGATTATGGTAGGGGTTTAAAGAAAAATAAAGAGAGAAGCAATTTTGGTAATGGGGGCCAAAGAAATGAGAGGTCCGAAGTGGAAAGGTGATGGTATTTAGCTGGCCTCTTTTTTTAATGTAGATATATAGGTGAAATGTCCAATTTACCCCTTTAACAACCTTCAAGCTCACATACTGTCACGACCCCATTCCGCCTCTAGTAGAATGGTGCCTTGATGGCCAGTAATCCGAGATTACCAAAGGCCAACTTACAAAGATTCATACACAATCAAAGTATACATATGGGGCTTAAATGTGCGGAAGTAATAAATTTAAATCTAATTAGTCCATAAGAGCTGTGCATAGGTTAAATGAAATGATATACATTTTAACATGGTTTACAACTTGAATATAAATAAAATATATTACATCTTGATTAAAAGGCTTCTCAAGCCGACATATACAAAAGAAGTGAATTAAAATTAAGAAACATAATCTTCAAGAGGTTAGCAAAATGAATCCAAAACAACTTGCAAATAACATCTAGGCGTCACCGCCTTCTTGCTCGCCACCTACATATATATAAAGGGGAGGGTGAGCTTGGATACTCAGTGAATGATATAATTAATAAAGGCTTGAATGAATGATATCCGAGATCTTTATCAAAACAATACATATCGTAGCTTGTAACAAAACATGGGATGAATCAAGTTCATCAATCAAATCTTTCAAATCTTCTTGGGATGTTTAATAACATCTACATAATACATGGGGGATGACATTCTGGACAAACCCATACGGTAAACCGTCGGTGGCAAGACAAAGGAGATATCTCAAACAAGGGTGCTAGTTGCATTATAGTCCCCTAGCACTAAGGACTTTCCAAGACAAACGCGCTAGTTGCATTATAGTCCCCTAGCAGTAAGGACTTTCCAAGACAAACGAGTTAGTTGCATTATAGTCCCCTAGCACTAAGAACTTTCCAAGAATGTCATCAAAACAAGATAATACTTGATACAAAAATTAGGGATAATCATTCATGTTTGATCAAATACTTTTCCAAAACGAAGCAAAGCTTTATCAAAACTTTATAATATAGTTTTATTAAAAATACCACTCACATAGCTCTTCGAGTGTAGGGATTAAGGCAAGGATCCAAGACCTACAAATACATAATAAAGTCTACTGAATGCACTTCAAGAGGACAAGAAGGAATGCTCAAATATGGATATAAAATGAATTCTCAAAATAAGCTTTACATGAGTGCAAATGATCCCGGCATTTCTTTCCAAAACCAAGTCAAGACAAAGTAAAACATGCTAGGAGTTAAATCACTATTTTTCATCTAGGGAAACACATGTTAGGTACTGACCAGGTCTTGGAATGGATGCACAAAAATGATTTAGGC